CCCACCTTCTTCACTCTCTCACTCTCTTTCCTCTTCCCCTCTACTTTTCATCCCGCAGTCTCTCTCTCTCTCTCTCTCTCTCTCTCTCTCTCTCTCTCTCTCTCTCTCTCTCTCTCTCTCTCTCTCTCTCTCTCTCTCTCTCTCTCTCTCTCTCTCTCTCTCTCCTCTCTCTCTCTCTCTCTCTCTCTATCTCTCTCTCTCTCTCTCTCTCTCCTCTCTCTCTCTCTCTCTCTCTCTCTCTCTCTCTCTCTCTCTCTCTCTCTCTTTTACTCTCTCTCTCTCTCTCTTCAACGAGAGCGAGAGCGAATGGGAATATAAATCGTGTTTTGCCTTAACGATAAAGCACAGCGCTGCTAACGCGACAATTGTAACAGAAAGCAAGTGCTCTGCTACACGATCATCGCAGCATGCAGTTCACACGCGAGGAACGTCAGCGTTCACGCGGAGGTCACTTCATCCGTGAGATAACCTCTCGTGGAACATGAAATGAGTACTTCATAGCAAGCATTGCCATCGACTTGCCACCGGTCTGTGCTCCACTGTTGGTGACCTCACAACGTCATTAATCTGTGCCGGACGAGATACAACACCCCAGCCTACGCCCGGGCAGTAAACTACTGGTAGGAATCGAACACCGCTGTGGAGACAGATGGCCAATATCCACACAGAGGTACGACTGAGAGTTCGAAAGTTACGAGTGCAACGAAGCGACGACATGCATCGTGTTTCTCCCGCACGAACGAGTGGCTTACGGTCTCTGAAGTCCCGGGAGGGGAAGCCATCCCTGCGACGCATCATGGCTTTGGGATCAGGAGAGGCCCGTGAACAAGTACCGGGCTGGAACGGAACAGTAGTCGATTTGAGGACGCAGCGAACAGGGGCAGGCCAGGCAACACCATTGGATAGGTACGTGGAAAGTAGCATGGTTGATAACAAATTAGAGCGGAGCTGAGTGCAGGCCTGGGAATGAGAGGGCAAACACACACATGAAATATGTGCATGCCAATCTTCGGTATACGACCGGGGACAGGGGTCCATTGGCCGTCCGTACCGCCTGTGGGTGCCGCCGCCATTGGCCTCCCTTGCCTGCCAAGCTCGTCTGTATCACCCGCTACCACTGCTTGCTCCGCGTTCGATGACGGCAATTCATCACGCCATAAAACGGACGATAGATTCGATGGGGCAGTCGAACAATCCCATTTGGCGACAGCTGGTGACGTCACGGGCGCGCGGCCGGACGCCCTTCTTCCGGGGCGGGCTCCGGCGGCCGCCCCGACCGCCGACCGACGGCCCAATGTCCTCGGCTCGCGTCGTCTGCGGCGGCCGACGACCAGCGTCTGATAGCGGCCCTGGCCTACGGCAGCCCCGACCGGACGCGGCGCGACCGCCGCCGGCGGTCCCGCGCCACGCTCGGTGGAGCCGCGCCGCGGGGCAGACGTCATCTGCCCGTGAGATATGTCCCGATGGGCCGACACGAGGGAATGGTCGGCGGCCCGCGGCGCTTCGGGGTCATTTAGCATCCCCCTCGGCCAAGTCGGTCGCACATGCGGCGTATCGATTTCGCGTGGCGTTCTTCCCATGGGCCGTGCCGGAACGCTGGCCCGTAACTTAGTCAGCACCATTAATTTTAAGATAAATACGCCCATAATCTGACCGCCGCAGTCGAGCGTCAGCCCGCTGCCGTTCGGCGATGGCGCCACGGCTGCGCAGGTCCGCGCAGGCCGCGCGGGCAGAGCGGCCCGCGCGGCCCGCGCGGCCCGCGCCGGCGGACGCCGCTCCGCGCGGGCCGGCGAGCTGTACCGTACGCGCTGCCGGAGTGCCAGCAGGCCGAGGAGCGCTAACCGGCCGGGACGGCGCTCCGGTGCTGCCAGCAGGGCTGCCTTCGCTGCCGCAGCGGCTGCCGTTCCCTGATTGGCAGCCCCGGAGGACGAGGCCGGCCGAATTGTTTACACGGGACGGACCCGCCGCTCGCGCGCGCGGGCCGTGCCTTTCGCCCAACGGCGGCTGTCTTATTGTCGCCGAGCTATCCGGAGACCGCGACACAGACCTCCGGTCACGAGAGTTGACATCTCTCCGCCACAAAACACAGCCGCTGTCGCCTGAAGATGAAACCCGAGGCCGCACGTGCAGACGGCGCACTGCCGAGTCGCTTCATGTGAGGCTGGGAAGACAGGAGGAACGGTACAGATGAAGGACGGTGTTCGGTCGGGTTTGTGCGACTGTACTTTGACGCCTGAAAACACAAGAATCACATGTGAATCACTAAGCAAAGGATTGGTGAACTGTACCCCAGCTCGCGCACCACGATGCAGTATTGATCAGGTTGCATTTGTTACGTATACTGGTCGTTTAAGAAGCTTAGACGCAACTTGCTTTTTTGCATTCTTAATGACGAGTTGCATCCGTGATGCCAATGAATGGAAATGTTCACCAGGAGTGGATATCATAGCAGCATGGCAACAACATGGCGATTAGGGATGGACCGAGGGCAATCTTAAGCTCGTTCTTTTCATGCTGCGTCACGGGCGTAATGCGCTTTCAAAATGACTGAGCATACGTCCCCCCCCCCCGACCCACGTCGGCACCACTGATGATAATTGCGGAAGCTGGCACATCGCAAACTTCTAAGAGAGTGCCTTTATATTCCGCCTCCAGCGCGTCAGTGACAGGCCCTTGGTGGCTAGCTGTTCGGTTATTTTGTCATCGCGGAGCGCGGTGGAGACAGTTGTGGAAAGTAGAGTAGTGGGTGATGCACCGGGCGGTCGGTCTGATGCACCTGGTTGTTGGTACACGAGACCTGGGTGTCGGTCTTGGAGACCTCGGTGCGTCTACAAGACCTTGGTGCCAGTCTACAAGACCTTGGTGCCGGTCTACAAGACCTTGGTGTCGGCCCGCGAGACCTGGCTGTTGGTCTACGAGAACTGGGTGCCGGTCTGCGAGACCTTGGTGCCGGCCTGCAAGACCTGGCTGTTGGTCTTCAAGACCTGGGTGTCGATCTGCAACACCTGGCAGCAGTCCCGGGCACAGTGTGAGCGCGGTTTACACTTCCCATCCCGATGAGCGCCGGGAGAAGCCGCGGTCATGTTGACTATGTGACCGGCTGAATGTAGACGGGAGGGCATGCAGCTTTGCATCGCAAGACCCAGACGGGCATGATGCTTCTTTCACACCTATCCACTTGCTTCATCACGTCAGCGCTTTACCGACGCGAAAGGCCCGGACGTCGGGGCCGGAACAGTTGCGCTGTTGTGACGCAGCAGCTGAGCGCGTCGATAGTCATTCTGCAAGTCAACTAAGAATTATGTTTATCATCAGACTAGGCATACAGTGCCGACGCTTGCGTTAAGTTAGATCACTGTAGTTTGCGAAGCGATATGCAAGCATTTCCGGTGCATCCAACACCGGAGACCTTGATACCACTGGCCTAATGCAGCACCAACGCTCCCACACCAGTGCCACTACAGGTTCTGCTTCAGAAACCGCTCCTCCCCTGATATACCATCTGCTCCAGCAGCCGTCCTGATCCAGCTATCTCTTCTCCTGTCAGCGCGTCGGAGCAAACATGACGACTCCTCGTCTCTCTTCAGGCGTACGGCACCCAGAAGCCATTCACCTGTGCTCATGACAGGCGCTGAGAGCTGCCCGTGCCAAAGCCCTCCTGGAATATCCCGCATCAACCGTGTTCGCTTTGGATCGAAGTTTCTGAGCAGCCAACGCCCCCGAGACTCCTCTCCCGTCTGTCTATTTCGTCTGGCCATGCCCCAATGTTGATCCGAGTGGCACTTTTGATTGACGCTTTGTTTAGGGCTCCGCCGATTCGACGAGCGTTTACTCACCAAAATTTCCGAATTTGCTCCCCGAAGACTGTGCCAAGCTTTGCAAATCCCGGTCTCCATAGGGAAGTGTTTATGGACAGGTCTGCCAGGGTTTGTGATTGTGTTAAGACCGTTATTATAAGATTACTTTTTGAAGTGTTCAGCTAGGTCATTCATGTCAGTGAAGGTTGTGTTGTTGCTGTGTAGTACGTTTATCGGCAACCGCCGAGTCAACTGCCCCAAAGATTATGATCCAGAGCGTTCTTGGCTCAACTCAATCACTGATTGTACAACACAAATTTACATCGCATACGAATGTGCTGCACTCAAGCAGCTGGCACCTAGCTCGTTCACCGACAGTCACTTAGTCAGATCGGTCAGTCGGTCCGACCCCTTAGTCAGTTAGTAGTGCAGCACTAGTGACTTAATCAGTCACAAGCGCTGCGTTAGAAGTGAGCTAGTATCTAACCCAGTCATCATCGAAGTACATTAACTGCACCAAGTGTCACCAATCTGCACCAAGTGTCTTACCAAACTGGCACTCCTCAGCTAAACAATCTGACGCATCAACGACAATGCTGCGTCATTTTATCGTTAAGGCCCTGCGGGCGTGCACTTCGAAATGCAAGTCATTCATTTTCATTCGCGGTCCTATTTTCAGTCTGTCGACGGCCGACAACGGGGACCTGTAAGCCGCCGTCGGCGAGGTTCCGGGAGTGCGACCGTCTGAGACGCTTTGCGCCACCTCGCGCCCTGGAAACAGCGCGTTCATCAGCGCAATTCGCCGCAGCCCCGAAATAACGCGAAACCTTGGCCACCGCGTCTTTTATGACTCTGAAGCCGCAAGAAATCCTCGTGTGTTTCATTCTGACCGCTATAGAAGGCGCCTGCTGCGCGCCCACAGTGGCGATGTATTGATCGCCCCTGCCAGTGTTAAATTTTATCAGCAAGAGCAACACTGAAAGTCGGGGTGCTCCTAGGGCCGCGCCGCCGTTGCCAGCCCGCAGACGAAGGGCGGTCCCGATCTCGCGCTGACAAGGCAGCGGAGCATCCCAGAGTGGACCGGCAAGCGATCCCCCGAGAGCCGGCGGCTTCGGCGGGTCCCGAGGTGCTGCGCTGAGGGATCGGTTCAGCCACGAGCAGCGGCGACAGCCCCCGCCCCCCCCCCCCCCTCGCCACAGCGACATGGTCAAGCGACACAAGAAATGCTACCGGCTGCGCTACTACCTGAAGGTGTTCTTCACGCACCTGTTCTCGCACGTGGGCCTGTGTGGCCTAGTGGTCGGCTACTCGGTGATCGGCGCCTTCCTGTTCGAGTTCCTCGAGAGTCGTAGCGCGGAGGAGACGGCGCGCCCGACGCTGCCCCGCGAGAAGCGCCAGGAGATCGACGGCTTCCGCGCCCGTTGCCTGGAGGACCTCTGGGCCTTCACCAGTGAGTAGCCGTGTAGGCCATATCGGGCCTATAGTGTACCCGTGTAGGCACTAGGCCGTGTCAGGCGGCAGGCGCCCGAGCCAGCCCCGTCCCTTGTGCGTGCGTGCGTGCGTGCGTGCGTACGTGCGTGTGTGTGTGCGTGTGTGCGTGCGTGCGTGTGTGTGTGTGTGTGTGTGTGTGTGTGTGTGTGTGTGTGTGTGTGTGTGTGTGTGTGTGTGTGTGTGTGTGTGTGTGTGTGTGTGTGTGTGTGTGTGTGTTTGTGTGTGTGTGTGTGTGTGTGTGCGCCGGCCAAAGTGAGCAGAAGCGGTGAGTTATTACTGTGAGTTTCAAGTTTTTCATAACTTTCCCGTGATCCCTTCTGTGACTTCCCAATCTAGGAAAGCATTGGATGAAGTGATATAAAAGGTCGCACCTCAATAATACCGCAAGGTGGACATTTCAGAGCTACTGCTGGATACATCCTTCCGAAAAGAGGCGGTCTGTTTTTGCATTCGCCGAGGTGAAATAGACCGTTGGTTTAAAGGACCAAAGTTTTCTGTTGATTTCGGGCCCGATTTACAGCCGGATTTAGTTAGGAAAGCATCAGCGAAGTTTGGTCGTCGCAATCACCGCTTTATTAGCGATGTAGTGGCGCTAAAGCTTCTGCTCTTTTTGAGCCCGTAATCTTTTTAGAGGCATGTCGGAGGCTAGCTTCAATGAACTCTGGAAAGCCATTACAGCTGTAAATGACATTCAGTGCTGCTTGGTGACAATCGACCAAACAGAATATAGGTGAAAGGTTCTGTCGGTAGGGATGTGTACATGATTTATTTTTATATTTATTGATGAATGACTCAATTGGGTAACCCCTCAGGACACCGGTTAAAAGCTCTGAAAATTACGTGAAGAAAGCGTCGAAACTCTTCAGTCATTCTGGTTTAATGTGAAGCATAAGGACATCCACCGGTTCATGCTTAGGCACATGATGAGCTGGGATAACCTTTAAACGGGGAGATGACCGCGTCATCACGAAAGAGGTAGATGGGCGTGGGCAGAGGCTATCAACAGACCTTTCAGGAGTTCAGCAGGGAAATTAGACCACGCGAGTCTGACGGAAGTCAGTACCCGGGGCAGCACTGTTCTTCAAAGCAGCCATGGACACGCAATCTGCTCTTTTTTGTTGCCGTTCAAAGGCAAAAGGACCTAGGAGTCATTAGTTAGGATAGCATTTAGATTGTTTTGCCTTTGGACGGCAGAATGGCCTTGTGGTACCCCAGCTAGCGCAGCGAGCCGTGCCATGACGCCTGACCCCTGTACAGAGGGCCAGGGTCTGGCCGTCCGACTATCGATTGGCCGAATCTGCCCCAGCGCCGCGGGCGCCGCCGCGCCTCTCGGCGGCTCGCGCCGCACAGCTGGCGACTGCCGCCAGCGTCTGGACCGAGTCAAGTGACGCCTTCGGGCGGCCGCGCGCGCCACGGCGCGTCTCATCACAGGCACAACGTAGGCGCAAAGCCAGTCGCAAGGCCGCCGAGGCCTGAGAAAGCGCAGCAATGCACGTTTTGTGCACGAGATGTGGTATTTTTGAAAAGGGGCACGTACGCAATCCTGATGAAAATGGTTCAAAATCTAACTGGATGGGAGCAAAGTTAACCTGTATTAAACTTATGAGGTGACAGGATCTCCGTAAAACGACCCGGTTATGGTTGTACCGGTTGTCAACAACTTACAAATGTCGCAATGAATTGGCTCTTTGTATCAGCTAATATAATCGATCAACTGAATTGGTTCGTTTAACAGGCTCAGGGATTGATTGAATATCATTCAAAACATGAAGTGCGCAACGTAGATTGCGCAGGGCGTCGGACGGCATGATTTCTCTCCCCCCCCCCCCCCCCCTCCCATTCAAGGTTTTCATTTGTATTTTATGTGCTTTTCATTGCGTTCTTTAGTTTTGGACTTTCCCTGTCATGCTTTCGCACCGGTCATCCAAAGGTCAAGGTCCTAGTCCGATCAATGCACGTCGTCAGTGAGCATGTCGCAACCCGATATTTTAGGCGACTGTCAGTTAAGAATAAAACGAGACGCATTCGCAAGCAACAGAAGCATCATCGGTACCGTGAGGGGAACGGTTAACGAGGAAGCGCGACGAATTCAACACTGCTACGTCGAAGGAAAAGGGCATCGTTTAATGCTGCCAACATTTACGGATCATTTCAAGTTTTGCACATCTAGCCCCATCTGGAGGGTTCTTTTGTTGGTTTGCGTTTGTCTGCGACCATCTGAATCCGTTTGCAATTGCTTGCTTGAACATCCGTCGACTTAACTCACGGATATCAAGACCCTCCGCACAAATCCATGTCCTGAGGAGCTGCAGAGCGCTGAAGTTAAGAACCCTTGAGGTAAGTTTAAACTGAAATGAAACATTCGTGTCGACTGCTCTCGAGTTCCGTGAGTTTCTCAGCTGAGATCCCCTACTTTGGCGGGATAGCCAGGTCGTAAACATGACCTGCTCACACCGCGGAGACCAGAGCGCTGCCGTCGTCGGATGGCTGTGGTGCACCACTGGGGTAGTAGCAGGAGACAAACAAGGGATCTTCAAAAGATAGCGTGCTGTGAAAAGTGTTGACTGAGACCCGGACACAGATAGGGCAGACCGCGGTCCGGCCTCTGAGAGTAGCATGCGGTCCAAGGGTCCGGGCTTGAGCTTCAGAGAGCAGCATGCGGTCCGAAAATAGCCAAATTCCGGCTTTTAAGGGTAACAGGCAGTCAAGAGGCTGGTGTTCCACCCGCCGAAGGTAGCAGATGGCTAAAAGGTCCGAGGCTTACCTGCTTTGGATAATGGGCGGTCCGCGGTACGAATTCCAGCCTCTGAGCGTGATGAATGGTGGTCTTGCGGACACGGTTGCAGTTTCTGATGACAACGAGCGGGTAAGAAGCAAGAGCCCCGTTTTGTGCAGGCAGCAGATGCTCCAGGGCAGGAGGCAGTCCAGGGGTCAGAACACCAGCCTCGGAGGGCAGCAGGAATATCGGCCTCGGAGGGCAGCCGGCGGTCCAGGGCTCAGAACCCCAGCCTCTGAGAGCAGCAGGCTTCCCGGAGTCGACCCTCAGCTTCTGGAGCCCACAAGCGGTCCTGGGAGCAGACTCCAGCGGCCCTTGGCGGCGGCTGGTCGTGAGGAGGTGACGCTCGCCTGTGGCCCGGCTGTGGTCTGCTGGTGCCCGTATGTCATCGGAAGGGTGCCGCTGATGTATGGGGCAATAAGGTGGCGGCGGGCCGCCGTGTCGCAGCTGCGAGCCAAGTGGATTTAGCACCGGCACCGCCTGCGCACGGCCCCGCCACATATCTGGAAACGAAGCGCGGATGGAGACGTGCGAGTGACGCTTCCGTCCAAATCCCAATTGGGCTCGACGACATTCGGACCCTTACAAGGGGCGTGAGAGCCTTCTAGGCCTCCATGAACGAACGGATGAGAAGCTGAAAATACCGGCGTGTGAGAGGCAGCGTTAACACCTAGCCTCGGAGCCATTAAAGCAGTTTCATTTTGTGCTGTTGTTGTGTTTGATTTCTAGCTATAGCGATTCACGAGGAGTCTTCCGCATCACATTATAACTTCAGAATCACCCAGATGATCATGGGTAGGAAAGCGGCGGTCAAAAGCTCATCATCTTAAGGACAACGCAGTCTGCATGAACATTTTGCACTGAAGGCCTATGTTCCACTTTATTTGGATTCAGATGCAACTAAGAATCATATCGCTTTTGTGTAAATCAAGGCCTAATTAGGAGTCGTAAATTAAGGTGGGTGTTGGTAACCTTACGCTCATCACAGTGAGCGTTAATACCCTAGGATAAAGTTAGGATGGTGATTGTGACCATAAGCACACTAAGAAGTTTCCTAATGTTTCTACTAATTCTTAGCTGCGCACTTCAATATATCCGTTTCATTGAAGACCCAACTTTTTCGCTGAGACTGCTTGAATAACCTAACTCAACATTGACTCGACTTGAATCAACATCAAATCAGAAGTGCCACTTGAGATCCGAAAGACAGTTTCAATGACTAACAACTTCGATCGTATGAGAGGATTGATGTCGACATTTGTTGCAATTAGTCACCGGTCAATTCTGATAACACGCCATGCAACGTAAAGTTTGAAAACAGAAGTTTACAAAGACAACACTAGATACACGCAGCACACTACAGAAAGTGCATCAGGGTACTGCTGTGGGCATCAAAACCAGAGGAGTGGCCCATAGCCAATATCGAAGTGACAATAGAAATGTCAAGGTTCTGTGCTGGCGCTGGCTCAACAGATAGGAAACAGAACGGGTGACAGTGTCTGCTGGAACAAGATGATGCTATTATTGATATAGTAGTTATCAACAAATTTACGGCCGTGACTGGTAGTAAAAGTAGCCGCAATCTTCTTTGTGAGGTAGGACAGAGTACTCCTGGCTGTCGCCTAGAACAGAGCCGTGAAAAGGAGTAGTCATTCTTTTCACAGATACGAACATTTGCCTTTCAGTCCTCGTAGCTTTGTCCTTTGCGCACATGAAGAAAGTTTCAGATTGATTTGCTAAGCGCAATGTAGCAGAAATAGCTTATAGATATATCACAACTGCTCAGGATTTGAGTATGACCAGGTTTAGGTGTCCAAGCTTTCGAACAATTGTGCCCACAAATGAAACGCTTTCCACTCAGCCGCGTCGCAATTATGATTTTTACGACAGGGTCACGTGGCATTTTTGCTGTACTTCAGGGCACCAATGAAGAGAATCTGGGCATGCTGGCGGCGTCTAGAACAGTGTAATTGGTAATGCACTTAGAAAATGTATTTGTGCAGTATGGCAAACCTGTCATACTTTTACATGTTTCGAGCCGGTCAGATTGTGCAAAGATATTATGGGTGGTTAGCAAAACTGAACACTTTGGATGCACCTTTGAGCAAGTTACTGTTGTATTTTGAGTTGTATGATGATAGCGGATACCCGTGAATGTAAGCACTGCTCGAATCATTGAGTAA